GAGTCAATTTTTTTTTGTGTTTTTATGTATACATATTTAGTTAATAATGTGCCGTTATGTAAATTCTACAGGTACTCATTTATCTATTCGAACAATTTCTATATAAATTGTTCGCTAAATACATGAAAAGTTTAATAAATACATATACGACAATTAGATGGAATTTTGGGAAATTCAAGAGATACACTGTGTTAACATCTAATTTTTTGGTTTCTTTAATACATTTTTTTCAAAAAAAAAAAAAAAAAAAAGAAATAAAAAACGTATGTATATCCTGTTCACAATCCGAAATTCACAGGTGCAGGTAAATTTATCACCTTTCCCTATCAAATAGCATTGAAAGGTGATAAATTTTACCTGTACCTGTGGACATCGGATTGTGAACGGATTATATTTGAGAAAGAGCAATAATGATTAGGGTAGAACCAATTTAAGAATGGTACATGTCTGCGCGAAGTTTTGACGTCCAAGCTAGCAGGAAAACTATTACATATTTCGATAATTCTCATTTGGTTTTAGAATAGATCTGAGAATGACCCAACTACTCGCCGTTCTTATGACAACCATGATGAACATACCAATGCGTGTACCGTTCTTAAGTTGGGTGGACTCTACCTATTTTTCTTTCTCTGTGTTTTTTCTTGTTAATACGTTCTCTACTTCTCTGTATATAGCAACATAATGGATTATTTTTTTTTGTACAGGGTGAGCCAATTTGGACACTATTAATAAGAAACGTCAATTTCTGCGCGTGAGCAAAGAATATTATAGACTAACGTCTAGGGATGGCAACGATACATCGATTTTTTCAAAACATCGATATATCGAACAATAAACATCGATACTTTTACATCGATACAACACAAGTCGATACATCGACATCGATACTATCGACCTTTAAAATGTATGATTTTTTTTAATACATTTTTTCTTACTCGGTAGTCGGCACTAGTTTCTACCAAATAAAAATCGCTATTCTTGACAGTTTTGGTGAAAAATTGACAGTTGACTTAACGCTGTTGACAGAATGCCTTAGGGCGAGTTCTCATGAGCGTAAGTTGACATTTCTGGCGTAATCACGTGATACTATGATGTAATCTGATTGGTAAAATCTCCAGCATGGCGAATATTCTACCAATACAATCCAACCATTTTATCACGTGATTACGCCAGAAATGTCAACTTACGCTCATGAGAACTTGCCCTTAGGGCGAATTCTCATGAGCGTAAGTTGACATTTCTGACGTAATCACGTGATAAAATGGTTGGGTTTTATTGGAAACATATTTGACATGTTGGATATTTTACCAATCAAATTACACCATATTATCACGTGATTACGCCAGAAATGTCAACTTACGCTCATGAGAATTCGACCTTAACGGAAACGCTGATTTGATCCAAGGATAACACACACTACTACTACAGGATAACCTATCCTCATAAGGCCTGTGTGGAACAAATCTGAAGCCCCCACCCCACCTCATCACGCCAAATCACCAGTTGTGACGTAGGCAGCATGTCGTGTGTCGCCTTGACGTATGCTGTTTGCACCACCACAGGTTATGATTCCACGGGCTTTTGCTTATATTATGTGGATATGCCTGTATTATTTTTTAATTCAACTTATCTAATTGACTCAATTATAATTTTATTTTCATACCTAAGAAGAAATAATAAATAAAATATCGCATTTTTAAAAACATCGAACACATCGATGTTTTTAACTCGATTTATCTTATAAATCGATGCATTGCTTTCCGATGTCTATCGATGCATTGCTTTCCGATGTCTATCGATGTCGATACATCGATGTTTTTCCAAAAATTGCCATCCCTACTAACGTCTCTAGAAGACCCGTCCAACGGTGAAAATATAAACCTGCGTGATGGCGCTGGTGTCCTAGTAAAATCAGTCGTTTCTGCGATTAAATTAATTTGAGGCACCAAATACAGGCGTATTTGCTAGGCTGCGTTGCCAAGTTCTCTTTTGTTTAACAAATTAAATGCCTGTGTTTTATATAGGTACTTATTATACATAAACCTACCATAGAATAGGAATATTAGTGTCATTTGTCAAATTGTGACAGTTGCAGATTTTGAACCAGTTCTTCACAACGGATTTTGCTGAAATTTAGCATAGGTACACTTCAAGTTCAGGTGATAATACATTTTAGACCTCCAATGACAGGTGTCAACTGTCAAATGTGACAGATGCAGATTTTTGAACCATTATTTCGCAACGGATTTTGCTGAAATTTGGCATACATTTTATGTTCGGGTGATAATACATTTTAAACCACTAATGACAGGTGTCAACTGTCAAATGTGACAGATGCAGATTTGTGAACCATTTCTTCGCAATACATTCTGCTGAAATTTTGCATACAGTTTAAGTTCGGATAATAATACAATTTGGAATACTCAACAGCTGTCAAATGTAATTTTTGACAGCTGTCAAAATATGACAGGTCGAGAGGTGGGCAGGTTGTCAGGACTACCCCCGTCTTTGAAAATTTGCTTTTTTCGACAAAAACAATGCGACTCGTTTCATCTAATTTTGGACAATTTTGCACACTCTTCTGAGAAAAGTTATGAGGTGTGATAAATGTGCACTTTTTTTCCCATTTATTTGAAACTTGAAACATTCTTTGCCTAAGAGCGTGCGCAAAGTAGTACTTTTCCGCATGCATTTCCGTTCTCAAAATTTGGGACAAGTTGAAATTTTCAGGGAACCTTTTTTAGGTGGTCGACAATGTTTCCTTAAAAATCGCACTAAATCCCATGTGCCGTACTCGCCCAATCGGGCTTTAAACTCAAAAAATTGTGCTTTTTTTATTTCTTTGGAAATATATCAAAAACTATGAACTTTGGACCTGTCAAAAAATGACATTTGAAAAAAAAAAAAAAACATATTATTGGACCTGTCAAAAAAAAATGAAACCCTTGAAAAAAAAAAAAAAAAATTATAGGTGTCATTGGACCTGTCAAAAAAAAAAAAAAAAACATTTAAAATTAAAAAAAAAAAATTATAGGATTGGACCTGTCAAAAAATGAAGTTTGAAAAAAAAAAAATTTTTTTTTTAAGTTTGGACCTGTCAAAAAAAGACATTTGAAAAAAAAAAAAATTTTTTCATATCATTAGACCTGTCAAAAAAAAAATGACATTTGAAAAAAAAAAAAATCATATTGGAACTGTCAAAAAAAATGACATTTGAAAAAAAATAATTTTTTTTTTTCATATCATTGGACCGGACCTGTAAAAAAAAAATGACATTTGAAAAAAAAAATAAAAAATTTATAGGTGTCATTGGACCTGTCAAAAAAAAAATTTCATTTGAAAAAAAAATATTTTTTTGATAGGATTGGACCTGTCAAAAAAATGACGTTTGAAAAAAAATATTTTTTTTTATAACTTTGGACCTGTCAAAAAATGACATTTGAAAAAAAAAATAATAATTATTATTATTGGACCTGTCAAAAAAAAATGACACTTGAAAAAAAAAAAAAAATAATAATTTATAGGTGTCATTGGACCTGTAATTTGAAATTTTTTTTTTTTTTATAACTTTGGACCTGTCAAAAAATGACATTTGAAAAAAAAAAAAAACATATTATTAGACCTGTAAAAAAAAAATGACACCCTTGAAAAAAAAAAAAAAAATTATAGGTGTCATTGGACCTGTCAAAAAAAAAAAAAAACATTTAAAATTAAAAAAAAAAAATTTATAGGATTGGACCTGTCAAAAAATGACGTTTGAAAAAAAAAAAAAATTTTTTTAAGTTTGGACCTGTCAAAAAATGACATTTGAAAAAAAAAAAATTTTTTCATATCATTAGACCTGTCAAAAAAAAAATGACATTTGTGAAAAAAAAAAAAATCATATTGGAACTGTCAAAAAAAATGACATTTGAAAAAAAATAAATTTTTTTTTTTCATATCATTGGACCGGACCTGTAAAAAAAAAATGACATTTGAAAAAAAAAAAAAAAATTTATAGGTGTCATTGGACCTGTCAAAATTTGAAAAAAAAATATTTTTTTGATAGGATTGGACCTGTCAAGAAATGACGTTTGAATTTTTTTTTTATAAGTTTGGACCTGTCAAAAAAATGACGTTTGAAAAAAAATTTTTTTTATAACTTTGGACCTGTCAAAAAATGACATTTGAAAAAAAAAAAAAAATTCATATTATTGAACCTGTCAAAAAAAAATGACACTTGAAAAAAAAAAAAATTATAGGTGCCGTTGAACCTGTCAAAAAATGACGTTTGAAAAAAAAAAATTTTTATAACTTTGGATCTGTGAAAAAATGACATTTGAAAAAAAAAAAAAAACTTTTTCATATTATTGGACCTGTAAAAAAAAAATAACACTTGAATTGGACCTGTCAAAAAAAAATGACGACACTTGAAAAAAATAAAAAAATTATAGGTGTCATTATGGACCTGTCAAAAAAAAAATATTCATTTGAATTTTTTTTTTTTTTATAGGATTGGACCTGTCAAAAAATGACGTTTGAAAAAAGACACTTGCAAAAAAAAAAAATTATAGGTGTCATTGGACCTGTCAAAAAAAATAATTCTGTTGAAAAAAAAAATTTTTTAATAGGATTGGACAAAAATGACATTTGAAAAAAAAAATTCATTTGAAAAAAAAAAAAAAATTTATAGGATTGGACCTGTCAAAAAATGACGTTTAAAAAAAAAAAATTTTTTATAAGTTTGGATCTGTCAAAAAATGACATTGACAAAAAAAAAATTGTTTTTGATATTACTGGACCTGTCAAAAAAAAAAGACACACTTGAAAAAAAATAAAAATTTATAGGTGTCATTGGACTTGTCAAAAAAAATAATTTTTTTTTATAGGATTGGAGCTGTCAAAAAATGACGTTTGAAAAAAATAAATTTTTTTTTTTATAAGTTTGGACCTGTCAAAAAATTATGTTTGAAATTTTTTTTTTTTTTTTATAAGTTTGGACCTGTCAAAAAATGACATTTGAAAAAAATCATATTATTAGACCTGTCAAAAAAAAATGACAAAAGAAAGAAAAAAGAAAAAAAAATTATAGGTGTCATTGGACCTGTCAAAAAAAAAAATAGTTTTCGAAATTTTTTAATTCCTGTCATTTCTCAGATAATTCTTGTTATTTTCTAATTCTTCCTTATTTTTTCCAATTTTTGGAAAACTTGGTAATTTTTGTTATTCCCGCAATTTTTCGCGCTTTTTCTAATTATTTATATTTTCAATTTTTCAATTTTCAATTTTCTAATTTCCAAAAAAATTCGAAATTTTCTAATTCTCCCTAAGTTATTGTAATTTTCGTAATTTCAAAAACTTGTGATTTCCGTTATTTTGGGAATTACCGTAATTCACGTAATTTTGAAATGACTTTGTAATTCTTTTCCGTAATATTTCGTAATACCCGTAATTTTCGTAGTTTTTTGTATTTTTTTCAATTCCCGTTATTTTCATAATTTCTCATAATTCCCGCAAATTTTCGTCATTTCCGTTATTTTACTAGGTTCCGTGAATTTTTATAATTCGCATTATTTTTCGTAATTCCCGTAATTTGTCTTGTTAGTTTTCGTTACTTTCCAAAAATTAGTAAATATTTGAATAATTGACGTAATTTTGGAGTAACTTCGTAATTCTTTTGTGTAATATTTGGCAATTCCCATAATTTTTGTAATCTCCGCAATTTTTTGTTATTCCGTGATTCTCGTAATGTTCCGTAATTCCCGTAAATGTTTGCAATTCTCTCTAATTTTTCATATTTTACGTACTTTAACGTAATTCCCGTAATTTTTCGTAACTTTTCAAAAATTATCGTTATTTTCGTAATTTTGAAATGAGGATAAAATCGCGGAAAGTGATGATAAAATCGCAAAAAAAAGAGTCAAAAATCGCAAGAAAAATATGAGTCAAAAATTTCAAAAAGAGTGAGTTTAAACTCGCGGAAAAGTAAGATGAGACTCACGGAAAAATGAGGATAAAATCGTGGAGAATGAAATAGGAATCGCGGAAAAGTGAGGATAACATCGCAAAAAAAAGTGAGACAAGAATTGCGGAAAAATGAGATTATATTTACAGAAAAGTGGGTTTACATTGTTTACAATCGTGAAAAAGTGGATTTAGAATTGCGGTAAGTGATGGTAAAATTGCAAAAAAAATTTGTCAAAAATAAAAAATAAAAAAATTTCAAAAATCACAAAAAAAGTGAGGTCAAATTAGTGGAGATAAAATCGCGGAAAGTAGGGAAACAATCGCGGGAAAATGAGGTAAGAATCGCGGGAAAATGAGGTAAGAATCGCGGAAAAATAAGGATGAAATAGCGGAAAAATAAGTTTGTAATCGCCGAGGAGTGAGGGTAAAATCGCAAAAAAGTGAGGCAAAAATCGCAAAAAAAGTAAGGACAAATTCGCAAAAAAGAGAGTTAAAAATCGTGAAAAAAAGAGCCAAAAATCGCAGAAGAGTGAAAACAAAATTGCAAAAAAGTGGGTCAAAATTCGCAAAAAAAATGAGTCAAAAATTTCAAAAAAAGTGAGTGTGAATTTGTGAAGAAGTGAGATAAAAATCGCGGAAAATGAGGTAATATTTGCGGAAAAGTGGGTTTACAATCGCGGAAAAGTGAATTTAGAATCGCGGAAAAGTGATAGTAAAATCTAAGATTTCTATTTATGACGTCATCGATGATGTAAGTAAGTATAAAAAGTACAAAAAAAATAAATAATTTGGTTGCACTGATTTTTTATATTAGTTTTAGGTAGTGCCACTGTAGGTAGTGCTATGGTGGGATGCCGAATGGGAGTGCTAATTTTTGCTTTAAAGGTGCTTAGCACCCCCAAGCACCCCCCTAGGACGAGACTTCTAGAGTCGTTAGTCTATACTATAATATTCTTTGGCGTGAGCCAGATACAGATACACTTATAGTTTGCATTACTCAAGATTTCATAAAATTTGAGCCTCAGAGTGTGGCAGTTAATTTTTTTGTTTTCCGCTCAGAAATTGGTCCACCCTGTACATTTTAACAAATGATTAAGGGCCAAAAACTAAAACATTAACATAAATTTAAGCCCTTAATCATTTCACTACACAATCAATATAAGTCTTATTAACTAATTACATTTGGGTAATTTTCTTTTAACACTTATTACTGAAAATACTTATAAAATTTCGGCACGGCTTTACCGCCAGTACCGTTAATGCCAAATCCACCTTTGAACCCCTCCCTACTAGAAGCAGCACAATTATAACCCCCATTACAATTATTATTTATCCTTGAACTAGAAAACTCTTCATTTATGTGCCTTTGCAAATCATTTTCGTCAACCTCCAATATGGAATTAACAATAACATTATCTTCACATTTAATCCCAAAAACTGGCTTTTCGATTTTCTGATTGTGTTGCTCGTTTATGTGCTCGCTCTGTATATAAACTGGTTTGTTGATGTTGAGCTGACTTGTAGGACTGTCGTACCAGTTGCAAGGTGGTGAGTCACAAGATTGCGGAGTGGCACATTCGAAAATGTCTTGAATTTTTGAGCCTTTTTGGTTAGTTGTATGTAGTAAGTAGCGGAATTTTTCTGCAGCCTCTTCGCCTGTGCTTGCTTTTAGGTATTTGTACCATTTTTCTTGCATGTTGGCTGGTTGCAACAGCATATCAGCCAAAGACATGTTTTGCGGCAACAAATTTATACAATCACTCAAGGCTTCTGGAAAATGCACATTATTCAAGAATTGTATTAACTTGTTATTACTTTTTTGTACGGGAGGAGGTTCAACTAAAGGCGGTATTACTAAAGGTAATCTTATTGGTTGCGGTATAGGAACTAAAGGATTAAAAATAAAGGGCCTGTGTTGTGGAGGATAAATTAAAGGAGGAAAAACATAAGATGACATTAAAGGTATTGGCACATTGACAACAGGCTGATAGTTTCTTGGAATAAATTCAGGTGCCAAAGGGTTTAAAGTGTAGATTTTTTTAAGCTCAATTGAATCAAGTTGTAGCTTTAGTTGCGTCCAAGTTAGCCCATACAAACTATCACTTTCATTACAAATTTGTATAAAACGTTCCCACACTTTACTGCAACGGCCTAAAGAGCACAATGCAATCGGGTCTCCAACTACAGCCACAAGGCTTTGAGCCCTTGTAATAGCTGTATTTAATAATTTTGAATTCGATAAAAACCCATAATCAATAATATCTGATGAAGCATCATTATTGGTGCAAGTTTTCCTTGTACGAACAGTTGACAGAATTATAGCTCTAAACTGTTTACCTTGTACATTCAAAACACGTTCAACGCAAACATTATCTATACGCCTTTTGCGTAGCTCGGCCCGAATTCTAAATACTTGGTCAGCGTAAGGAGTTACAACACCTATTGACTGATCGCAATATTTGCCCCAATCATCAGGCCAAGTGCGTTTAAGCTCAGAAACCCTTTCCACAACTTCATAAACTTCAGAATTATTATAAAACGCAGTAGAGTTTTTGTCCTGAACATCCTCACCTCTTGTAGTAAAGAAACTCAACGGATAATACTTAAAATGTTTAGGTTGTTTGCTGCTAGAAATCAGCTTTTGATCGTAAAATGATTCAGAAGTAAACTGTATTATTGACTCGTGAGCCCTATAGTTTTCGCATAGTAATATTTTACATGAAAACTGATTTGGGTAGTGATCGTATAAGCGCTCAAGTAAAGATATGTGTAAGTTGCGTTCTTTTGCAAAGGGTGAAAATATGTCTGGGCCTAATTGCATGTGATCACCCGCTAAAACTATTCTAGTATGATCACTGGCTACTGCTAAAGGAGTAACTGTTTCACATTCAATAGCCTGAGCTGCTTCATCAAGTAATATATGAGTAAAAAATCCATTAGGTAACCCCATTGCTGACAAATACACTGAAGTTGATAGGGTCACCACAATGACTCGATGTTTAATTAAATCTTCCATTGACGGCACACGAAACGATCTCATACCATTTTTGGAATCAATTAGACAATACTTAAAAAAAAAAACAATTATAAAATGGTTTTTAATAAATATACACAATTACCTTTTGTACTGTTGGATTTACAGTTGCCACCCAACGTTTTTGATAGTAAATCCTCAAAGGTCTTGCGTGTTCTTCTCCTTCTTGCACCCACTTGTCCAAATAGTCTTTTATGTATAAATCAGCTGCACTGTTTGAGTGAGTGCAAAGCAATATCCTATTGGTGCTGTCTTTTATCAGGTTCCTAATCGCTTGGGCTAATGTAAAGGTTTTGCCAGTACCAAACGGACCTTCAATGATTCATTAATTAAAAATTAAAATTATTAATAATAATTACCTATAACTAATATTGGCGGTAGTTGTACACATAAAGGCGTAGTGATGGCTACAACAGCTTCTTTTTGCTTGACATTCAGTCTGGAATCTAGATTTTTCGACCATTGTCTAGAAGGTGACCACGGTACTATCGGTTCCAAATAGGTTTCGGGAAATATCATTTTGAAATTGGCCATTTTGTCTAGGGTGTAGTGCCATTCGCAATATGGCACCCGGTTGAGTTGGAATTGGATTTGAACTTCTATGTCGGATTCGGGAGTCAGGTGTAGGTCTCTCACTGTATCGCTGGATAATCTGGGGAAAATACTCTTTTATTACAGAATTTTTCAATTTAAAAAAAAGATAATATTTGATATAACAATATCAATCATATTTTCTATTGTACTTAAGCTCAATTTCCTATGATAGCAATAGCGGTACCATTATAAAACTAGCAGACAAAAATCCGCTCTATCAGATCTAAATTTTGAGACAAAAATATACCTTGCTATATTCCAGTTAACTATTGAAATCATAATTCTAAACATAATCATGGTATTTTTGATTCAAAGAATCTCTTGATAAGAAGCCAATTTTCCCTATTATTGAAAATGTTAACGCTTCAGTTCTAGTAGAACAATATCTGCTCATAAGTCACAATCCTTTAGGATGATATCCAAGACCCAAATCTTTTTGACTTATGATTTCCCAAAGACAAGTGGATCAAGCCATATAGATATAGAATATTTTGGCAATAAAGTATGCAAACCAATCAAAATTAGAAAAAATGTCCTACAAATGCAAGAGACAAGTAACTGGGACAAAATAATTCATAATAATCTCCTGGACTATTCCAAGTTAACCACTAGATAAACCTAAAATTATTCATATTTTGACAAATAGCTGACATATGCCGTCTTTCTATTAAACCTGTGGTAGAAATTATGAACAGGGCAAAATTTCGATTTTCTTGAGATCGTAGATTCTTTTACTTGGTGACTTTTCCTGTGTGGGAGTTTGCTATGTTCACTGTTGCCAGGTCATATTTTGTTTTATCAGTAGATTACCAGACTAAATATCAGTAGACATACCATTAGAGTATACTCAATTAATAATGATTTTAACAACGTTTCTTCAAATCATTAAATCATTAGGTACCAAATTTCAGCGCCGTGCGACAATTTTAATTTTTTTCGACTTTTTGAAAAATTCCGCGCGACGTGTTCAGGCCAATAAGTCAATGAGTAATTAACGAAAAAAAAAATTCGCTGGGGCAATATGAGAGGAATAAATGGGCTGCCGATTGTCGAAAACTGTCACCAAATATTTCGCCCCGTTTAGAAATTACAGTGAATGCAAGAAAGGGGTAGTTTTCGATGCAATTTACAACTTCCTCGCACATTAGCCAAGTCCGTGCTCGCTTAATTTTCAAGCAAAAAATTCGAACAAAAAAGCATTGGAGAGTGCATTTCATTAGCAATAATGTGGTGTTTAAAAAATTGAAATCGGATTATGCATTTAGCCGCTGCTGCATCAAACGCGCGCAAACAGGTAAAAAGTTGATTCAGTGACCTTGAATAAAAACATGCTAGTATTCAAGACGCTGCAGAAAAAAAACTATAGCAGATAGAAGGGGTTGCTGTCGCTGAGTTTTTTATAGCAAAAAACTTCAGCTACAACATTCATTTGAAACTTTTTGCTATTGGACCATCCCTTTGAGCTGCGTTCTCTATAAACCGCAAATTACCCCTAAAAACCACCCCTAACTAAAAACCCTGTGGAAGTACAAGGTCGCAAACTTAATATGTTATTAAGCACATAAAAATGAACCGATCCCCCCAAAAAAAATGTTAACTTCCAATTATGTTGAGGTAAACTTCCTTCATTGCTTGGCCTTATTATCAATTTTACGAAAAAAAGTTATCCTTTATAAGAGTTTCTGCTTCTTGAAAAAATAATATTAAACTATTAAAAGTTGAAAAAGCATGTACAGGGTGGTCAAAAAATAGAAAAATATACAGGGTATTTCCTAAGTACGGTCCGTAACTGTGCAGTTAGTACAACGAGTTGCTGCTATTATGCAGGAGTACACTCAATCGGGAGGTAAGATATTCTGTTTACAATTGTTGGTATATTATATTAAGTTTAACTAATTTTATTAACGCCCGATTAATTCATCTTCAAATAAACTTGTTGGTAATTATCTGCAAGATAAATTTACCAATCTATAATCCTATTGGTCCGCAGATGACTGGCCGACCATTGGTATTACATATTGCGTTTTTATCTGTCAGATTGGATTACCTGACAGAATTTAAATCAACTCGCTCTTAAGCTAGATAAGTGTTGATTTATCTTTGGATAAAACTCCCCCAACTACTCAATTTTAATTTTTGCCAATGGGTCTTTAGGGGTTTCCAACTTTCTTTAGAGTAAGACGAGGGTCAAGAAGAATTTTAATTGAAAACATCATAGAGAACATAGCAATATGAGTAGGTACTAAACAGACATTCTACAGCTTCTTGTTTGAATAATGAATTTGAGGACGAGTGCGATAATAGTTATTAATGATACAAGTTCGATATGAACGCCATAATGAAACGCGTGTAACGTTAAACCACGAGGCGTTAGCCGAGTGGTTTAGTTACACAAGTTTCATTAATAAAGTTCATATCGAACGTGTATCATTCAAAATTTAATCTACAATGGTTCAAATAGATTTGATTTGCCTTGAAATAGCAAAAACTTTTCAAATTAAAATTTGAAATTTAGCAGGTGCCCGTACAAGTCGAGAACCTGCTTGTTGGTTTTTAGAATTTTGACTTTGGCAGCTTCAATATTGGAGTCCATTTTTGAGCCATAAATTCAATTTTATGGTGGAAAATAATATTATTATTGGTGAATCTGAGTTCGAAAGTGTCTCTTCGAATATAGAGACAGCATTATTGAAAAGGTTCTTCTGGCAACTAACTTTCTTTTTGTATATTTTTCATTTCAAAATTTGGGTGTTATTATGAATTTTTAAACGCACTAGTGCTATTATGAAGGACCTAATGACATTCAAATGACAATGCTAAATGTGTCATAATGACACCGACGTAGATTAAATATCTTATGAAACGAATATTTTATACTATTTTTTCTATTTTGGTATTGTTTAATTAAAAAAAAAAACAAATTTTTCTTAGAAATTTTATTCTCATATTTCCTGATTTCATGTTTAGGTTTGTAACACTACATGCAAAATATAGAATTAAATCTTCTATATAAAATCGAGAATGACATTGCGATGGCCATCAGTCAGCCAGTGTTACCAACTTTCGATAAGTAAAAAAGGAGTGTCACAAAGAGCTTCTTTTCGAAACTACTTTTAGTGTCGAAAAGACTTCGATATGAAACCAAAATAGAAAATAGCTATTTATACATCAAGTTACGAAATGAGTGTCTTTTAGGCACGCGACGTGAAAATTGTCCAACGAGGCGTAGCCGAGTTGGACAACACGTCGAGTGACTAAAAGACATCGTTTCGTAACGTATTGTATACAAGATTTTTTCTACTGGCATTTTATAATAAAAAAAACACAATTTTATTTCATGTGAATAAGTCGATTACACCCAAAATCTTTGTCACCTGCTTTTACTTGACACCTGACACTTTTCATGCGATTTTCTTTTCAAAATTCGGCATCAATATTTAAAATCCTAGAAAGTAGGTAATAAAACAAAGTTCTGTTTTGAGTAACCCAAACGTTCAATTCAGTAATTCCATTTTCAATATTCATAATAAATACAAAACAAAATTCAAATATGTGTTTAGTGTTGTTTTTTATTTCTGAATAATGATTGACACTTTTAGGCACTAGTGCTTAAAAATTACTTTTACGCACTCATAAGTCACTTTTACGCATTCAAAAGTCACTTTTACGCACTGAGTGCCTAAAAGTAACTTTCACGCACTCAGTGCCTAAAAGAATGCCGTTTCAAAACTGAAATGACAATCGAAAAGTTGCTATTATGAAACGCCAGTAGAAAAAATATAATGTAGGCTTATATGTCAAAAAATTGATACTGACTATTTTGTTTTATGTGTAACTTGAAAAAAAACTTGGCTATTAATCCTACATTTTGTTTTTTTGTTCACCTTGATATCTTTAAAAACAAAAAAGTTACAGGTGATCAAAATGATATCAAAGATAAAAAAAACACCCGGTACATGCTATTCCAAGTTTTAATAGTTTAATACTATATATTTTTTCAAGAAGCAGAAACTTTCATAAAGAATAACTTTTTTTTTGTAAAATTGGAAATAAAAAAGTTTCCCATATGTTGCAAACTTAAGCGGAAACACTATACAACTCGTGCAATGGAAATATATTTTCAATTTTTGACAAAGGACCCCGCACATTTCTTATGGAAAAGTGATCTATGTGGAATTTTGCTGAATTTTTGATATTGTGTATAGGGAGTCGTCCTTAACAAAAGTGATCATTGCCCTAATGTTTAATACCGAACAGTTTTCAAGATATCAATTAAAAACTTTTTTCTACTGACATTTCATAATACGCTATTAAACGATTAAAATCTGTATCATAATGAACTTCATTACGATACAGATTTTCATTATAATAATCATTTTTAATATTATACAATGTTGACAGATGGCAGCACCAGTTAAGATATTAAACATTTTAAACGAAAATTTTGCGTAAAACAATTATTTTGATAACTATAAGAAAGACTCCGAATTGTTTAAAAGTTACCTAAAGCAATTACTTGCAGTAAAGTGTGCGATTGTGCGTTCTCCATAAAAAAGTCAAATTACATAGAAAGTAGTGCTTCAAAAAAACTGATTTTTGGTACAGTGATTGGTTGGGTGCATTGTTGCGTGTTGGTGTGACCGGAATAGTGATTTTTTGAGTAGTTTTTGCTCAAGAAGGGAAATTCCTTAAACCTATTTTTTTGTGTATGCTGCACAAAAAAAAAGGTTCATTTATTTGAATAAATTCTTATCTATATAAATAAACATCAATACATTTAAAGTCCATACCTTACCTGGGTAATTTGAAAACTTGAAACGTTTTGAATATGGAATGTTTCTTGTGTGGACTTATAAAACAACCAACAAAGGAATTGAAGACTGGATATTTTCCATGCGATAGTTGCAGAAATTCAATATGTGCAGAATGCTCAGATTTATCAACCTCTGAACTCAGATGTTTGCCATTACAAAGGCGAGTTGTCAAGTTTCACTGTAGAAAATGTAGAAATAACGATTATGTGGAAAGTCTTAAAAACATAATTACAGATAAAGAAAT